TAACCATTGTTACTCTCCTAAAATCTTGTTTTGAGATTTTGTACCACTGTTTTTATTTATTTTTCTTTCTTTAAAATAAAAATAACTGATGTCAATAAAAAAAAAATAAAAACCTGCCAACTAGTCATAGATCTGCAGCTTATGTGAAAGTTGCCTGAATTATGTGGTTTCAGCTATAGAAAAATAGCTGCTGTTTTCTACTTTATTCACAGTAGAAATTATTTCTGGCAGATCTTGAATTCTTCCACCTCAGTATGTACTGATCTCTGCTTACTCCTTCCTTAGCTCTTCTGTTCCCTGCACCAAGTACATGCAAGGTGCATGAGCTCAGGTTATCTGAGGACTCGGCTGATTTAGGTGGATGGTCTTTCAACTGCTTTTCTTCTTTCACTCTCCTTTTCATTATGGACGACTAAACTGCCACATAAAAAATTCAATGACTCATGGCTTATTTTTGACATGATTTACTTATTTTTAATTTTTTAGAAAATTGGATGGGTAATAGGAGTCAGAATTTTCAGAAATGAGCAGAAAATTGTCCAAGAGTAGATTTTTGAAAGAAAAAAAAATTTTGCTTTATTATTATTTATTTATTTATTTAATGTATTTAGTACAGGATCTACAGGATCTCACTATGTAGATGGGACTCATAGTGATCCTCCTGTTTTCAGCCTCCTAAGTGCTGGGATTATAGGTGTGCACCACCACTCCCAGTCTCATTCTCAGTGCACCCCAGGGGCGGGGCTGGAATGGCAGGCAGAGGGTGGAACCCTCAGCCCCTGCATCTGCCTAAACAGGCACTTTAATCTGCTGAAATACTTGGCCCGCTCAGAAAATTTTTTCTGAAGACAGGTGAAATAACTTTTAGCTTGTCTAAAAGTTCTACATCAATTTAGAAGTTGGGTTGATTAAAGGAAAACGAATATAAATCTCATCAACAGTTGAATCTCCCTATATATTTTCTGTAATTTGCTTGTTAATGAGAAAACTAGCTCTATCTTAAAACTGGGAAAAGGGGTTTTGAGAAGATGAAAGGAATATAGTATAAATTGACCTGTTAAATTAAATGGGGACCCCAAAACAAAGACAAAGATTTAATTCCCATCCTGTGACACTCTGGACAATGTGCTATAGAACAGCAGAGCATCTCCAGGACTCCCGTCTCCTCACACAACCTCACATGTTCCTGTTCCATCCAGAGTACATCTCACTCAAAGCATCATGTTATCTAAGATTCCCACCACAGCAACAAGTCCCTCACGCCATGATCTTACCAGTGACAGTATCATTTAATGGCTTTTCCCAGTCCAAGATGACGAACGAGGGGCACCCTTCCACAGTGACCACAGTGAGGTTGGTGGGTGGGTTCTGTGGTGGGCTGGTGGCATTGCCCTCCATGGCTTCCTCTGTGGGGAAGCGGCTGATGGAGTCTGTGATGGAGCATGGCTTGTTGTCCGGCTTTGGGATGTAGCGGACATGAGGACCTACGAGAAAGAAGACTGAAGTTACCATTTTTGAAACTTGCAAAGACTGAAATGAGCTGGTATATAATTGTTAACGGGGAGGGGAGAAAGAGTTGAAGGGAGGGTAGCAGAATGCGAAAACAAGTTATGTCACGGTCAGGTACAAACTCTATGATGGATGTTATTATTATGCATATCTAAAATGTACCAAAGGAAACAACTAAAAATAATAAAATGGGAAAACATTTACATGAAATAAAACTTGACTGAAAAAATCAACAAATTAGATTTCAGAGCATAGAATATTACCATAGAAAGGGTCACTGCATAATGATCAATAGTCACTTAATCAGGAGGTTTTTTACAATCCTAAATTACATACCTGTACCTCACTATACACATCTTAAGTATGTGAAACAAAAACTGACAATGTGCAAGTAGAAATGAATCCATAATCAAAGTTACAGATTTCAGTACTCTTCTCTTATTCTCTTATTGATAGACCAAGTTCACAAACAAAATCAAAAGACCTTCCCACAAAGAGAATGTTAGACTCAGATTCCCTAAAGATTTAGGAAAGAAGCAATGGCAATTCTAAAGAAATTCTTCCAGAAAATTGAAGAGGAAAGTTGAGCATTATTCTGATACTAAACCTGATTGCATGTTATAAGGAAACTATAGAGCAATGTCCTTCAGAATGCAGCTCTAAAAATAATCTTGGAAAATTGGATACAACACTACACAAAATGAGATTATGATGAAATGGGGTTTGTCCACAGCACACAAAGTTCATTTAATTTCTTTTAGAAATCAGTTCATCATGTTCACAAGCAAGTAAAGAAAAGCCAAAGTCATTTCAATAAAAGCAGGTAAGTCAGGGACAATCTAGAATCAGTTTCTGATAAGAATTCTAATCATGCTGAAAGAGAACTTTCTCAATCCAATAAAGACATCTCTTAAAAGTCTACAGCAATACAAAGACTGAACGTTTGTCCTGCAAGGTTATAGTAAATGATATCTCGTATTCCCATTTCTACATAATGTTTTGCTGGAGGACCTAGCCAGTATAGTAAAGAAAAAAAGAAAGAAAGAAAAAAAAAGGACACTCAACCTGAAAGAAATAAGTAAAACTCTGTTCTCAGATGACTTAGTCCTGTATGTAGAAAATCAATTTGTTCTACAAAAAAGCTACTAGAAATAAGATTTGCAATGATCCAGTACATAAGACAACTGTACAATATTTATCACATATTTTTCCACATATTAGCAACCTTCACTTAAAGATTTGGAAAATACTACTTTTATGATTTTCTGTACACAGAAAATTTTAACTTTAATGAGTGAAACTTACAAGACTTAACTAAGTGGCATTGTATGCTATGTTCACAGATAAGAAGAGTCAGTGTTGCTCAGCTGTAAATTTTCCCCCAATTACCTGTAGATTCAATGCCATTCCAAACAAAACCTGACCAAACTACCCTTTAGCTAGTTACAATCTAATGCTCAAATCACATTAAACTTAAAAGGTCCCAGAAACATCAAAACAGCTTTGAAAAAAGAACAATATTGGGAGACTAATAGAACCTAATTAAAGATTAGAAAAACCACAGGAACCCAGAAAGTGTGGTATTGGTAGATCAATGGAAGAGACTGAGAGTTCCAAAACAGATCAACATATACAGATAATTGACTTTTGGTAAAGACTATTCTGTGGAGAAAGGATAATTTTTTTAATGATGCAAGGAAAACTATTAATAAAAAGGACATGTCTCATCCCTTGTATCATATACAACATTTTACTCAATATGAATCATAAATTTAAATGTAAGAAATAAAACTTCTAAAAAGCATGGGCCAAAAACTCTTTGTGGCTTTTAATTTGACCAATAATTTTTAGATATGATACAGAATCGCAGATATTAGGATAAGCATAGATGTCCATATCTTGTATCCTGAGCAATTACTTTAAAGATAATATGTAATGGATTAGCTGTTGTTTTTCTCTTATTATTTTGTTATGATTTTTTTTACCTTTGCCATAAAATAAAATAATATTATGAGCAACTTTATGTAGATAAATTTGACAAAATATTACACCAACCCTTTAAAAGACACAAAATCACAAGGCTCACTAAGGAAGAAAAAATATTCTGGAAAGTATCCACTTTTAAAGAGAGTGACTTTTATAATAAAAATTCATGAACTAAAATTTTAAAGAGACACATACTAGGGAAAATATTTGCAACATACATTGCCAGAAAAATACTTCGGAAGCATAAATATTCTCAGCACTCAACAATAAGTAAACAATACCATTTAGAAAATGAGCAAGTTAGGTGTGGTGGCACACACCTGTATTTCCATCACTTGAAAGGCTGAGGTAGTAGGATCACTCAATTTCAAGCTAGTCTGGACTACATAGTGAGTTCAAGGGTAGCCTGAACTATATTAGTGAGACTTTCTCAAAATAAAAAATTTAAATGTGGGCAAAACTTGGACATAACCAAAAAAATACAAATAGAAAGCAAATATGTGTAAAGGTGTTCAGGCCATGAGGTCCTTAGGAGAGGCATGTTAAAATCATAATTGGATAACACCATAGACCTATTAAAATAGCTAACTTTTTTATAGGAACGAGACAATTTTAAGTTTTAATCAGTTTTAAGTAGAGTTTATAACACTAACACCTAAAAGGTTGTAAACAAATACACTAACAAATGGACATCTGATTGGTGTGAGGCATTATCTGTACACATTGTGTGTGTGTGTGTGTGTGTGTGTGTGTGTTTTCAGTGCATAGCGTTTTTTAAAATTATTTGCTACAGGGTCTCATTGTGCAGCTCAGACTCATGGTGATCCTGCTGTTTCCAGCCTCCCCAGTGCTGGGATTCCAGGTGTGCGCCACCACAAGTGAATAGCATTTTGAACCTGAGTATACCAAGCATTGACAAATACATGGAGGAACCAGAGCTCTCATGGCTTCTGACAGAAACTTAAAACAGTACAATCACTTTGCAAAACAGTTTTATAATCTCTTAAAATGTTAGTTGTAAACTTGCACATCGCCCAAGTATTTCTTTTTTGATACTTTCCCAAAAGAAATGAGAGCATATATCTATACAGAAACTTACATGTGAATGGTAACAGAAACGTTATTTTTTTTTAAATTTTATTTATTTATTTATTTATTTGAGAGAGAGAGAGAGTGTGTGTGGTGTGTGTGTGTGGCCAGCTCAGCCCACCAGGGGGCGGGGCTGGCTGGCATGTGGTGCTGGGGGATCGAACTGCAGTCCCTGATGCTTTGCTAAGCTTGTTCTAAGTAGGTGCTTTAGACCACGGAGCCATCTCTCCAGCCCCCAGAAACGTTATTGCTTATGTGAAAAAATAGGTTTAATAATGAAATTGATGATTACATGTCTATATAATAGAATTCTAGTCCAAAAAAAGAATAGATTCCTTATTGGCCCATGGAAAAGCATGGATAAATCTCTAAATAATTATGCTGTGCAAAAGAATCCAGAAGTTCATCCTGTGTTTTTATTTGTGCATAATTCCATAAAGCACATATGCATCTGCAGTATTTCACGCCATGGCTACCGGGGACTGTGGACTTGGTGGTAGACACGAGAAGGCAGAATTTTAAAACTACCCGACAAAAGTTTCACAAATGCTGTATGTATTTTCTTGTTTATGATGATGGTCATGGGCAAATAAATGTGTTAAATTTCATTAAATTGTAGACTTAAGAAAAAAATTACAAAGGGAAATACTGAGATATACCATATCTTTCCTACTGAAGTACATTATATTATTGTTCAAAAATATTCTCTGTGATCATGGGAGGAGTATAGTCCCCTGGCCCTGGGCTTGAGCTTTGCTAAGTAACTTTTCAACTCGATCTATTTTGGCAAAAATAACATACAAAAGAGTTTGAAAGGTTTATTTGACTGTTACCTGTGTTTATTCTGCATTGTCACAAGAGTGGCTTCTCTGGATCACTGAGGGCTCTCCTACCAGGCACCTAAGGAGCAGACGTGGTGTGGACCTGAGGCCAACCACCAGCGCGAGTCACGCCTACTTGTGAAGCAGAAGCATGTACTCAAGCTTATCCTGGCTCGACAGATTCTCAGCTGATTTACAGAGACTTAAACAATAAATCATTTATAGGCTGCTAAGTTTTCTTGGTGATTACACAGCACTACCTGCCTGCTCTACCCACTTAAAATAGCCTTGTTGAGGTCAAGATTGGGAGTCAAACGTACCTTTGAATCTGGGCTTCCCAAGATGATCCGTTTCTCTTGTTGGGCTTGAGCTGAAGTCAGTTGTATTACCTAAGAAGAAAGGCGATTTATGAACAGTTCTGGTAAGAGATAAGGAAAGTGCTATGATCCAGCCAAGAATATAGTAAGGACTAAGCATTTAATGTTCTTTCTAAATTTCTTGCACCCTTTAATTTATCATTTTTATACATACCCATCTACAATAGAAAGCCAATAATTGTGTCCCTACTGCAACCAAGTAATTAATCCCAAATTAGTAAATTAGGATATGTGTGGTTGGTAATGACATGAGATTCTATAGTAGCAATGAGTAACCTAGATTATTTTTGGGAAATAAACTTGGTCCTTGTTTGTCTGCTAAGAAAAGGAATGTATTCTATACAAAGCATTGAAAATAATATAATTCTAAAATTAAAAAGGCACAAATTAATCATAAAATTGAGAAAAATAGAAGATCCAGAACTGATACTCTATTCCTTCTATAAAATATTTTAGTTCCTTATAACCAAACATCCAATGAGAATAGAATAACATACTAACCAAGTTCTTCCCCAGAGGCAGGAGCTGTTGGTGGCTTTTTATTTGTTTCTGGTGTGTCCGAGGTGGTTAGGGTAGGCTTGAGTGTTGCCCTTAAGGGTGGGGAAGTCACTCGGTGTGATGAAATAATTCCTGTAACAGAGCCAAAGTAGTAAGCCTTCAGAGGAACACTGCCAATTTTCCCATTTATTTACTCAACAAACATTTATTAAGCACTTACTATGTAGCATGGCACTATTAGTGAGGTTTAGAGAGAGAACAGAACTTGTTTCTTGATGGAGATAGTTGTGAACCATGGACACTGACACACCACAGGCATTGTGAAAGGATTAGATAAGTCATAAAGGGGCAAGAAGAGGGAGTGGGCACATCTATGGGACAGGATAGAGGTGTTAGGGCAGGCAGGAATGTGTTCACAGAAGATGACCCAAACAGAGAGAAGAGATCAGAAGAAAGGAATGCGAGTCTTGTTCCAGTCTGAATTGCTGTAAGAACCATGCAGAAAAGATGAAACAGCTTGGTGTGTTTAATTTAAAGGGGTGAGAGAAGAAAGTGTAAGTGAGTACAGTGAGAGCTGAAAGCAACGGAGAAGGGGAGACTATCAGATAACTTGCACAGTTTGGGCTTAGTTGTTACTTCCTGGTAGTAAAGATCTATGGAAATATTTTCGATAGGACAATAGGATGAGAAGATGATGGATGGCTCAGATGCAAGCCTGGAGAGGGAGAGGGGTTGGGAAACTAAGGCAGTTATGTAGACAAGAGAAAGAAAGGCAAACCAGAGCAGAAGCAGTGAGAGCAGATGGCAGTGGTCAGACATGAGATACACCAAGGAGATGCAACAGCTTGCCTGGGAAAATAGGTAGTAGGTGTCCAATATGTCCAGTGCTCAGAACAGTGCTGTCCTGAGTTGCTATATTCCACAGTGATTCTTCTACTCTAAAATTACTTACACTGTGCTTTTCTAAAACTGGATCTACCTCAGGTCTAAGGATTCTATGTGTTTAGAGCAGAGAGACTGGATTTTATAGAACTGCAGGTGAAGATATCTGACCTAACCTGGAAAACTCTACAAGGCAGTTGATTGGGCTCCTCATGGGCACATCCAGGCATTACTTTCAGCTTGTGACTCATCCAGCCTGACCTGAAGGCAGCTGGCACATGTGTTGCAGCTGCCTCATGTTACAAGTAATCAGCAAAATCTGGTCTCCTCATGAGAACATGTCACTGGACCTTCACTCAGAAAAGCACCAGGTGCATGAATGAGAGGCTGATTCCTTCACCAGACATTCTGAAAAATCATCTAGAGTTCATGACACTTTAAAAAGCCTCACCATCACTGTGGCTTGTTTTTATCCAGACAAAGGAATGATATCCATTCTCCTTCACATAAACCCTGATCAGTTTCATCCTTTACAGCTGTCTTTCATACTTTTATTCTGAGTCCACCTACCAAATACTTAGGAAGTAGAGATACAGGCAAACAAGAAGACAGTAGAGAACATTCTGTAACTTGCTGGCAGGTCCCAGGGAAAAAAGCCCTCAATAAAAATATGGTAGCTTCACTCTGAGCTAGATCATTTTTCACTAACTCTTAGCCACATTCATTTTTTCACTCAGTCCTTCCTTATCAAATATCCTATATGTGCTACATGCTGGGTTTGGTTCTGGAAGTTCAGAGAAGATACAATAAGGCTATCATCACAGAGCTCAGGTTGCATTTTAGATATGGAATGCTCCCCACGCCCCTATCCCCAGCTTCATGTGTTCCGAGATGAGGCTATAGGAAGGCGGTTGGATTGTGGTAATGATGCGCTTATGGAGAAATTCATCTCCTGTTACAATGAGCAGGTGTGTATCCCTAGGAAGTAGGACCTGGTTGGAGGTGGATTACTGGTCATGTAACACGAAAAGTTCTCTCTGTCTCTTTCTCTCTTTGTCTCTCTATCTCTGACTGTCTCTTTGTCTGTGTCCATGTCTGTCTTCTGTCTCGCTGTCTCTGTCTCCCTGTCTCTGTCTCTCTGTTTCTGTTTCTGTCTCTGTCACTGTCTCTCCATGTCTGTGTCTGCCCTCTGTCTCTCTGTCTCTCCCTGTCTCTGTCTCTCTGTCACTGTCTCGCTGTTGCTCTCCAGCCAGGACATGAGCGGTTTTCCTCCACTTTGCCCCTCTGTCATGCTGTTTCTGCCCTTGAGGCAGCTGACTATGGATGATAAACATGAATCAAAAACTTCTTCTTTTAAAGATGTGGTATTGGGTGTTGTGTCTCAACAATGAGAAAGTAATTAAAACAACTGGGTCTGAGGGGAAGACAAGTATGCACACAAATAGGTATAAAACAATTTGCTTTTGCTCTAACAGAGATATGTATCAAGGTCACAAGGAGAAGCAATGTCAAAGCTTCTCTGGGGAGTTGGTGTGTGAGTCTTACTGACTCTGCCAAGGTCTAGAGAATTTGTGCTATGTGTAGGAGAAATTTGCACTCAGAAATGGAGGTGAAAAGTGGTTTGATTCCCAAGACAGGTGTCTGTCTTGTTATACTGGCTAGGTCTGGTCAGTTGCCTCAGTAGTTTAGTCCTAAGTCTTCCCCTAAGCACCATAATGCTGGGGCTGGCATAAAGGCTAGGAGAACTTTGGGTGACACATGTAGAACTTCATTTCGGGTGACAAAATCAATGACAGAGCATCACATTTTTGTTACATCTAGGTGCTTTACACTGTACATTATCTCATCTTTTAGAATCTACAAAAAGGGCTAGAGTCATCTTTTATCTTGGTTCCAAGCATGCAAATATCTAAGAAGCAAGTTAGCTTGTATACAGAGGAATAGTTTCCTCCCCTCTACCTATCCAGAGTTACAATATAAGTCCATAAAACTGTAATTTATAATTTATAATTCCAATCTTTGGGACCTACACAACCATGTGCCACACATGTGAGTGGCTTATCTAGTGCATCAGGAAGGGTGTAGAAATTAGAAATCATGGATAGAAAAGCTGAAATAGTAGAAGTGGACATACCTGAGCTTCCTGGCTTTCCGGTGACATTATTTGGTGGTAAAGGTTTTCTTCGTGGGGGTACAGGTCTAGGTGGTAAAGGTGGGCGGCGAGTCCCTGGTATTGTAGCTAAAAGATTGTATTATAGATAAATATATTATAAATATTCATTATACACAAATGAAAGTCGTCCTTAAAAAGTAACCTTTGATAAATAGCAGTTGATGACAGATTTTTTGTGTGTCTTTTAAAAAATTATTTATTTATTTATTGGATACATGGTCTTGCTACACAGTTCAGACTCATAGTTATCCTCCTGTGTCAACCTCCCCAGCACTGGGATTACAAACATGCACCACCACTGCTGGTTTCTGTGGCCAGCACAGTACGTGATACCAGGGATTGAACCCAGGTCCTTGCACTTGCCAGGAAGATACTTAGACCACTGAGCTGTCTCCCCAGCCACCGATAGTAGATTTTGTACAAAAGTACAACTAAGTATATATGCTGTTAGTTTTGTGAATTAATGCCAATCATCTATCAATAAAGCATATTAATATACATAAAACATTCTATAGTTACAGATGCAAAAATATATCTGCCTTTTGAAATGCTATTTAGATGTATAGAATTTAATATTTTAAATTTCCCAATTGGGCTAGCATTTGTAAGCTTCATTATTGCCAATTGTTTTTGACTTTTGAGACTATCATTTTTATGTCATTTTAGTTTTGAGTTGTTAAGCATATAATTTTTCTTTTTGTAGGTGTTTGACCCGATCCCTTAACTTTTTTATTATGTAGTTAAACAAATAACTTCTGAATCCCTCAGATGGTTGCACCAAAGTTGCCCAGAGAGCAGAAAGGAGAAGTTGGTCTGTGGAGAGCAGGATCCCCATGAGCCTTTGCGCTCACGTACTGCAGTGGGACTCTGGCCAGAGCCATTAGTGGGAACCCGAGTGTAGCACCCATTCTGTTCATCCACCCAAAAGCCCTGGGGCAGGGCTGCCAGCCCAGAGGAAGAAACATTTTTTTTCTAACTGGCCTGTCTGAAGGTCAGGGGAAAGTAGTACCTCTTAATAATTTGCATTAAGTTGTTTACTTTGCACAAAAGTTGGCAGGACTAAAGCTGTTTGACAACATTTTTAGTGTTATGTTGTAGCTCAAAAATTTTCATTCTTTACATTGTTTAAGTTAATTTTTAAGTTTTCAAGAATAATTGTCAATAGAGGAAAATGTCAAAAAGCTTTAAAGACTTCCAGGGTACTAGAGAGACAAAGAGGGAGAGAAAGGGAAAGGGCGGAGAATGGGGAAGAGAAGAGGAAGAATGGTGACAGGCATAGTGTAAAAGAGATCTTAGCATCTTTTGCAAAACCAGAGGCATTCTGAAAATTCCTAGCTTCACAATTCTACATATTTCAAATGGGATACTCTTAAATCAAGAACATACATCATTTCAAGCAAAAGGATAGTGTAATAAGCCAGACAAGAGCAAAACATAAGATAAGAATTAGTACCTATGGTAACAGAGCATTAAAGAAAATAACTATTAAGTTGGTACCCCACTTGAAGTTGCTAATATTTAATTTGTGCACAGAGACTTTTCTTTCATTCCCTTAACAATAATACTTGGACTATTTCTCTCACAATATGGATAGATAATTGACCTGTGTGGATGTTGTTATTTGGCTGCACAAATTCTGCTGCAGTTAATGTGCAAGTTTCAAGCCTGCACTACAGTAGGGGAATCAGTTTTTTATCCCTTACCTGGTCTCTTTGTGAGTTGGGTTAAGTCCACTGACACATTTCTACCAGGGCCCCATGGCTTGGGTCCTTGCTTGGCCCCTATGGGTATAGATGAAAGAGAATCAATATATAATCCAAAAATAGCATAGGGTGGCTAAGATGATTATTCTACTAATTTTCTCAGTTTTTTGAAAGTAGTAGTTAATGCTTAAACTTTTTACTTTGACCAGTTTTATATGCTTATATCTTTAATCTGAGCAACTACAATGAAGAAATACATGTGTAATATAATAACCACTGTTGAGTACCTATCATCTTATTTTTAAAAAGTTGTGCATCATTTCTAATATTTATCTACTATTTTTCTATTTTCTTTAAAATAAAAAAAAATGAATGTACCAAGTTCTTCATAAGAACTTGATAGTCAGTGACAATATGCATTCTGGCCAGAGCTGGGACTGATGGGATTTTTGCCTAAATATTTTAATTGACTTTTATCTGAGTACATAAAAAATTCAAAACTTCCCTTCATTGGCTATATTATTTCCATAGAGATAGCATTGGATTGTGGCTGTTGGTTTGTCACAATTTTCCATGACCTTCATATTGTATTGTCTTACTGGGCAAGATTGCTTTTCCTGGCAGAATTTCATCTTTTGCTAATTGTGTGCTTGTTGTCAATTTTTCTGGGTGTATTTTGTGGTGTAAAAAAATTCTCCAATTCCTGAATATCTATAAAAACCTTAGAATTACAACTTGTTTGATTATATGCTTAATGAATTGACTTTAAAAACATTTATGGGCAGCCAAAAGAATTTTAGAGTTAATAATCAAAATCTAGATTATAACTGGATACAAAATCAACATTCAAAAATCAGTAGATCCCTGTCCACAAATCATAATCCACTGAGACAGAAATTGGGGAAACCACACCTTTACAACAGCATCAAAAATTAAATATGTAGGAAATAATCTAACAGAGTAAGTATATATGTGAAAAAGTATAATACTCTAATAAAGGAGATCAAAAAGAATATCACAAAAAGGAATTTTTTTGTTCTTGGATAGGCATAATCTCTATATTGTAAAAGGCTATATTTCCAAAACTGTTACACAGATTCAATGCAAAGACAATCAGAATACCAACAGCATACCTCACAGAACTACAGAAAACAATACACAAATTTAATTGGAACTAGAACAGACCTAGAATATCAAAAGCAACAAAGGTATATCAAGGGGCATTACAATCTCTGACTTTAAATTACACTACAGAGCTAAGGTGATTTTTTTAAAAGCATGAAACAGGGGGGCGGGGAGGGAATAACAGACCCAGAATCAATGAAAAGATCAGAAAATGCAGAAATGACTCCAAATATGCCCAACTACTTTATCTTTGAGAAAAGAACCAAACACCTTCACTGAAAGAAAAATAGCCTCTTTAACAAAAGGTGCTGGAAAAGCTGGCTTTCCACAGGCCAAAGAATAAGACTAGAACCACGTCTCTCACTATGCACTAAGCTAAAATTGAAATGGATCAAAGGTGTAAGTATTAGAACAGAAACACTGAATTTCCTAGGAGAGACTAGGTAGAACTCTTAAAGATATAAGTGCAGGAAAACAAAGATATAAGTGCAAGAAAACACAAACTCAGCTCACACAGGAAATATTAGAATGAACAACTGGGTTCTCATCTTACTAAAAAAACTTGTGGATAGCAAAAGAAATCACTAACAAAATGAAAAGATCCACAGAGTAAGAAAAAAATTTGTTGGCTGTTCCTAAAGGGCTGATATCTAGAATATATAAAGAACTAAAAAAATCAGATTCTCCTACACAAATTCAAAGACCCAATCCAAAAATGGGTATCTGGAATTATTAGACACTTTTCAGATGAAGAAATGTAAATAACAAATAAATATATGACAAAAGAGTTCGACATCACTGGTCATTTGAGAGATGTAAGTTAAAACCCTGAGACTCCATCTCACTCCAGAAAGAATGTGTATTATCAAAAAATCAACCAGTAACAGATGCCAAGGGGCAGGGCTATATTGAAAAAGAAATCTTTCTTTACTATTGGTGAGAATGTAGACTGGTGCTACCACTTCGGAAATTGGTGTGAAGATTCTTCAAAACCCTAAAACTAGAGGTTCTATTTGACTCAGCTATCCTCTTTCTTGGTATCTTCTAAAATAATTAAAAACACCATACCACAGCAATATATGCACACCCATATATTGGCAGCACAGTCTGTAATTGCTAAATCTTGGAAACAGCCCAGATGCTTACCAATGGATGAATCAATAAAGAAGATGAGTTTTTTTTGTTGTTGTTTTTATGTAATGGAGCACTACTCTGCCATAACGAAAGATAAACTTGAAACATTTCTAGGTAAGTGGATACAACTTAAGTAAAATAAATTGGGCACAGATGCTTAAATATTTCTGTTCCTGGTGTAGTATAAATAAAGACTAAGCTGTTTAATAGATATTAAAATATAGAAAAAAGTTCAAATGTGTAGGGAAAAAGAAAGTGGGCAGGGAAAAGGAGAAAGCATAAAGAAGAAAAAGAATAGAAAGAAAAATAGAAACAAAGTTTTATAAATTAGGAGGGGCAGAGGGGCTGAAGGGAGGGGAGTGGAGGGAGGGGATTGGGAAAAAAGAAGAATCAAGTTAGTTATATTATGTTTAAGTACAAATTCCTATGATGAATGTGATAATTATGAATATCTAAAATGTACCAATGAAATTAATTAAAAATATTCCTGGGAAGAACTTGGTATCAGACAGTTGAGATTATGAGCTGGTTACCTTTGGGGCTTATAAATTAGTAATTAATATGTTTAGAACTCCAAATTGTTATTTGGAACAAATTGAGTTAAAAATTGTTTTGCATGATATTTTTGTCTCTTAAATCTCTCAAACACAATCTGATGGTTATTTTTTGTTTACTTGCTTAAATAACCAAGCTTGGGTTTTGGTAAATTCCCTAGAGTGTTTTTCATCTGACTTTTCCATTATTATTCTTTTACATTATAAAACAATCTCCCAACAGATGATCTTTATTAAAGAACAATAGAAACATAGTTTTTGTCTTTCTGTACTGGGGATTGAGCCCAGGGCATTGCACTGAGCTATATCTGCAGCCCTTTTTTGTTTTTTATTTTGAGACTGAATTTTGTGAAGTTACTTAATTTCCCAGGCTGAGTTTAAATTTGTAATCCTCTTACCTCAGCCTCCTAGAGTAGTGGGAGTATGGGCATGCCCCACTTTGGCTAGCTTAGAAATCCATATTTTAAAGAACCTAAATAGTAAATATCACTTCATATATAATGGCTCTTCCTAAAAGGAGTACATAATCTGAGGACTTATAATTAGTATATTAAAAATAGAATATAAAACTAACATTTAGTTAATATACTAGGTATTACATTAACAATGAGAACAATGTATTTTTATGGTATTATATTAACTATAAGAACAATGATAACAATCCTGTTTGGACTCCTTACTGTGTTCCAAGGAACATTTTAAGGACATTGTCTATTCAATCTCAATGTTCAGAGTGATATAATGATTTTTTTGGTCTTTTTTATTTAACTATATTTTTTTTTGATGGAGTTGTTTTTTAGGGGAGGTTTATTTTTTGTTTTTGGTGCTGAGGACTGGACCCAGAGCTTCCAGCTTGCTAGGCAAACATTCTACTGCTGAGCCAAATCCCCAGCCCCTATAATGATTAAATGAATAGCATAAGCTTTGTTTGCCAAAAGTAAGATGACATTTGTGCATTTAATTGTGCAGTCTGGAGATGGACTTAATATGACAAGCCACAATCTGCCACTTGAACAAAAGAGAGTATGTAAAATCATGGAGAATTTTATATGGAACCATGAATCAAATGTTGCTTTTTTTTGTAGTAGGAAAAGCATCTGGGGCCAGTGACTATTTTCTGGCTAACACCACTGACTTTGGGAAGATAAATGGCTCCTTAACCTTCCTCTGCCCCCGTTGTCAGTGGTACCGGTGCAAAGGGAATGGCCCACTTGAGTGGTTGCTGTGTGAATGGCATAGGGGAATGGAAAGTGTTTCTTTTTATGCCACCAGAATAAATTAGGTTTGTGTGTGTGTGTGTGTGTATGTGTGTGTGTGTGTGTGTGCTTTAAACAATTTATTTAACTGAAATGGACTTACATTTGTTTCTGAAGTGACTTCCATTTATTTTGATGTATCTTTTCCCCATGATGACTTACAGGATCTTCAAGCCAATATAAATATTTTATAAATATTTGAATATTTGGGTATACACCTGCACAATACCTCAGCAATATCTTTCATCAAGAAAAACACTGCATAGTAGGGACTAGACATAATTACTAGGTACAGTGAAAATCTGCTACAAATATTTCTGAAGTAAGAAGGCACCACATACCTGTTTAACTAAGAAAACCACCCTTACAACACAGGATGATTTTATTTTTATGTAGGACCTAGAACATTTAGGCTGCCAATTGGGTACTAAATGGAACAGCAATATCCCCAGTTTATGGCATGAATTCATAGGGAATAGGTTCCAACAACTCAGGTTCCTTCCCATTGGTCCTCACAAAGTACGCTTCTCTGTGTGGGGAGGGCTGGCACTTCAGTTGAACCCAGGTACCTTTCTCTTTGGCTTCCTTCTTTTTCTGATCATTTTCCTTGACACGTTTCAGCAAGCTATCATGATTTTCTGAGTATTTAGTATGCTCATTATGCACATTAATCCTCTTGGCAAGTATCTTGCCCTTAACTTGCTTGTTTACAACAATGCCAACAGCATGCTGGGTAACGTTGTAGACTCTTCCCGTTTTGCTATGGTAACATTTGTGAGGCATTCCTTTTTGCACAGTACCCATTCTCTTGATGTTTACAATATCACCCTTTTTGTAGATTTGCATGTATGTGGCCAAAGGAACAACCCCATGTTTTCTAAAAGGCCTGGAGAACATATACCGGTTTCTCCTCCTCTTGCCCTTTGTATTAGTCATGGCAAATTACTAAAATGAATTTTCCAACACAATGCTCAAGATGCAAACCAGTAACAGTCTGGAAGATGATGGT